GCGCCTGTGGCCCCACAGAATGCTGAATTTATTGCGATCATGGAAAAGATGTCGTGAGTCACTTGGTATGCTCCTGACTTGTTAGTCACGTGAGTATGTAGAGCAATAACCAAACATCGACCCTACCATGCTAATGAGTAATGATACAAGTAAGGTTTTCTTCATTTATGTTAGGTGATCTTTGTTTGATCCACAAAAAATGGCGCATGACTGAAATAAGAGTTTTTCCACATCACCGCGTTCCGGGTGGCGGTGCAACAAATCACGTGGTACCGTTCTAGATCAGCCTACTGGCTGCTCATAGAGGGGTCCATAAAGGCACATCGAGTGATGACTCTGTATGGCCTGAAGAAAATAATATACGCAAACGTTTCGGCTGAGCGACGAAGGTGCAGCTTTTACACTATTTTTTCGTTTCGAAAATAGACGAGCACGCGAAAGGTCTCAGGTGACTATGCTAACCGTCATGAAAAGTCTACTTAGCTTGTTTAAGTTTAGGGCAGGAGGAAGAGATGGGTGGGTTGGTTGGCATTGGGTTCTCCATTAGGATCAACCCTACACATACAAAAATTCTTGTCTTTATCACTACATTTAGAGCTAGTAGACTTTAGTTGATCCACAAAATTGGCGCATGAAAATAAATTTTTTTTCCTCACCACCGCTAAATGTTTGGTTCCGGGTGGCGGAGCACAAATCACGTTGTAGCGTTCCAGAACAGCCTACTGGCTGCTCATTTAAAAGGGGTCCGTAAAGGCACATTAATTGATGACTCTGTGCGGCCTGAAGAAAATTATATACGCAGACGTTTTCTGAGCGACGAAGTTGCTGCCTTTACACTTTTTTGTCTTTCCGAAAATGGCCACTAACTTCTCTCCTCGCTCCTCGCCGCTAGGAGGTCGTTTTTGCCTGAGAGATACCACTACGAAGGAGTTTTAGCACGCAAGTCACTGCTAGTGCAGACCTAGGAAAAGGGCATTTTCCATCTGAAATTTAAATAGAAATGAAAGGCTATTTTGAGCCTTTTCTCTCTTTTCTCCGCAACGTATTTGGTTAAAAGATAGTAAGTAAAATGGCTGAGGCATTTTAAAGCATTTTTTCATTTACGCGACGGATTTTGGCGTTATGAAAAAAAACTTGTCAGTGAATTGGTTTATTTTCTAGCGTGCGAACAAGTGCTGGGGGGTGTTGGCGGACAGAGCCAGGTGGCTGTTCCTTTTTTTTAGGCGGGAGCTAGCAGTACGAGCTTTCTGGCCTAAGGCCATACTGTGTAGACTGGCCTTTAAGGGCCTCTGTTCGGGGGCGTGGGATCAGATAAAGTACAATTCGTCAACAGCAGGTTGAGGTCTCACCAGAAGATGCCCTTGCTGCAGAGGAGCAAAGCAATACCTTTCAGTAATTTAAACATGTTAAATACTTGTATTTCGCTTATCAAATGTGCCCATTGTCCACTGTCGATTTGTGGTTTTTCAGGAACGTTCTTTTGCGGAGCATTGGCCAATTTTCTTTAAACAGTTTCACTCGTTTCCATTTCCCTGCTCTACCTTCATGTGGCATATGGCGTACGTGTGTACCTAAACCACTCAATTCATACAGAGGTGATCGATAGAGAAGTCTATACGCCAAGCGGTGTTAAGATTAGTTAATCACAAGCAAAGGCTCAGAAGGCTAAGTGAAAAGTTTTGCAGACTCGGCTTAGTAACTCTATTTGTTTTCTTTCTCTATTTGAGTTTCGGCTGGTACATCCTAAAATCAAGTTCCACATGTTTTGAAGAATATAAAATATAAAACTAAAAAAAAAACAGTGTTAGTTGTCATTTTATTTTTTCTTGTACACTCGTGCGATGATTCATCCTTTTCTGTACGGTTGCGTGACCAGACTCAGATCACACACGGGCTTTCATCACGCAACACAGCATTTAGTACGAAGCTAAACGACGGAAGATTTCAGTAAACTGCGGCCACTTGCAGTTGAAACGACTGTGGTAAGTAAATTCTTAGAGATCTCGAATCCCATTTAGAGCTAACACGCCGTTTCTAGCGGCTTTATTTTAGGTGCAGAAACTCAAGGTCAATATTTACACTCAATGAGGACTTAACCTGAGCGTCGTCTTTTTCAGCTACTTGCGTGCAATCAAATGCAGTGTTAATCTACTTAGTTTTTTTTTTATAACCATCAAATTGAAAAGCGTTTTTCAAAAGATTTTAAGTGCTTTCCGTAATGTGCCCCTTATAAAAGACGATAAGTTTGCAAAAACTTTTGTGTGCCTACAGTCGCGGCTAGCTTGTTTGAGCGTTCCAACGTGCGAAACTACCCTGCACCTTTCGGTGTCTCATCGACGCACTTTTGTAATGCCGCCAAAAATTTTTTGACAGAAGAAACGGCAAAGGATGTGCTTTAAAGTAGTGTTTGTTTCATGTGGAAATTCTATGTATCAATTGTTTTTTTCAATGTTGAAGTTGGGTCAAATTTGTCATTTTTGAAAAGAGCCGAAATCGTGTTTTTTCTGGCGGCCGACACAGCCACATTTAAGCTGCTTATCTAAAGATAATTGCTGAATTATTAGAGATATCATCACGTTTTTATGTACGAGCGCGAAGAAAACGCTTAATTTTCGCTAATTTCATACTCGAAAGAACGCCGATTTAGCTTTTTCCAAACTTTGCCCGATTCAGGAAAAAATAAAAAGCCGTTACAAGTTTTAATGTGATTTTTGGAATAAGTGTACTATAGAGATTATGTGGGCAAAATAGGAAGAAATTCAAAAATTCACGACTGTCAACCGATTCTCGAAAATTACAGACATTGGCTCTTAAGCTCCCTAATCCCGAGGCTCGGATACGGTTAATAATATGTATACAAGACAATTGATAATCTTATAGTTGTAATTAGAGTGTTCCTGCACCAAAATCAACGCTAAACACAAGTCGAGTTACTGAAGATTATTCTATAAAACTGAGCGATTCTTTAGTCGTCTCTGTTCTTTTACTCGCTGTAGGCAGGACACCGCTCTATAAAAGACGTAAACTTAATGTCGTCTTAGACTGAGTTGACTGTGTGAGTTGCTCCTTGTCTAGCATACTCCTGGTAGAAGTTGAATTTTATTTTATTTTATTTTGAGGAGAGGAGAAAACCGGAGTACCCAAAAAAATCGACGGAAGAGCGTCGAGGACCAATGACAAAAAAACAAAACAAAAAAAACCCCATATCTCGTCCGAAACCTGCATTAAAGATTAATGGACCTGTAGGTTCCATTTTATAGGCATTGTAGTCTTTCGATATCATTCACTCTTTCACATCATTCATGATCACTCCTTCATATTTTATTTTACTTTTTCATATCGTACATTAAAGTGATATAGCAAAAACATTTTTTTCCTAAGGTGTACTGTGACATGTCTAATGGTGGATGGACACTCATTTCACGCTTCTCCAATGCTGACAGTCTTAACTGGATGCAGAACAGCGGCAACTGGTGGTATGACCGAAAAACAACTTATGGCAGTTATACCATTACATCGAACAACTATGACATGATATCACCTGCATTCTGGCTCGTTCAAGGCAATCATATCAAAATTACGCGCAGTGATGACGGCTCGCATACATATCTGTTGTACACTCCTTATAACTGCATCGGAGGAAACACCTTCAGAGGCTTTATAACCAGCTTTGGTAATTTCAGAAATGGTTACGTTTGGAACAGCAATGGTTGCAGAGGATCCTGTTATTCATACTTTGGAGGTAGTTATTCATCCACGGTGGGTTTCAGCCAAGCGTCATGCAGCAGCAATCTTCAGTCTAGTTATTACCTGTCCTTCTGGTGTGACTGGGGCGGTGGTGACGGGGCAGTGATGATGATTGGAGGAGGAGGTGATTCATGCAAGAGAGCGGATCATGGGATTGGTATTACAGAGGCTAATGACGCTCATTTTGACAACGGCTGTGCAGACTTTGGTGATGACTGCTACAATCCTTCTGGTTATTCTCTCAATCTTTGGGTTCAATAACTTTGTTCAGTTTAATGACTGATTAAAAACGCTGAAATACATTAAAGCAAAAAATCACCGACTAACGAAACAGGCAGAAAGTTTGAAAGGAAAGATCATATCTAACGATTGTCACCTTAAGTCTGTAAAAACGTAAAAAAGTCAACGAAGTATTTGTTTATAATTTTGTAACCCGTGAAAGTTATTTTAATTTCTATAGCAAATCTAAGGTGATGTTGACTGGTACACATCAGAGGCTTGCCCCATGAAGGCTCTTAAACACTAGCATACGCTTAAGATAGTCTCAGCGGGACTGGAGCGTAGAACAGCCGAATGTGCTAGATATCTGCGATTGTGAAGCTGTGTAACCTTCGATAATACTGGCGGCACGCCTTTGCAGCTTAACTAAGTACTCTCGGTCAGTCTTACAGCAGGAGTCCCATACGACAGCGCAATAGTCGGGCACCCCTGACTAAATATTGTTTAAAATAAATAAAAATTTCCTCCCGGCTTTCCTCCCCATCTACCACCTTGCCCCTCCTGTCTTGGGCACTTTTGCACTCAGTTTGCCCTTCTCTCTTGGTATGTTTGTCACAAGAAACGTGATCGATTGTTCAATTCTTTTTCCAAACAACAACGGAAAATTGAAAATTGATCTCAAAAATAAATTTTGAATTTTCTTCTAAATCCACGTAATGGTAGGTAACATGACGGTTGCGTAAGCGCTTTTCCCGCGAATATCTAAAATATCGGTTGTTTAATTATCTATTAAATATTGACTGCAGAAAATAATTATGGGCTATGTTTTTTTTTAAAATTTTTTTACAAGAAAAATCGGAAAAAGACAAAAGTAAAAAGACAGGAAATAAAAAATTACGCTATCGCATTCATTAATGTAACAAAATGTAAAATTGATTAAACGTAGCAAACAAAATTGGTTAATTATTTTAATGGTTTACGTGTCTTTTAAATGAGTTGTCTTCGAGGAAACTGTATGCTACTGTATTGTGACGATGGGCAGAGGCAGTGTCCTGGCTTTACCAGTGATACTAGCGCTCTTAGTAGAACCAAGCATCCGTTACACTTTGAAGACTTATGAACCAAGAAAAGGAGGTTTGTTGGCCTTACGTGACCGGTTTACTTTTAGTGCTTTGTAAACTAGTGAATTTTGAAGTTGTTGATTTGGACAAGGCTAACGTCAAAGATGCCTGTTCTTTTTCTCTAGGATAAAATAAATTTCAAATTTCTGGAATTCCGTAGTCAGAATAACCTGTGAGAGATGAGTGTTTTAAAATGTGCGCGTGCTTTTGTCGGTTGCTATTGTAGCGACTGGTAATAGGGAGCTTAAACAAACACCAAAGAAACGGTTACATTTGCTTTAATTTGTCAAATGGCAGACAATCTTTTTCTGGAGTATACAATCTTATGGACCTTATTCAAGTTCAGAACTGAAAAGGAAAAGAACGTTCTCCTTAGCCATTTGTTTACGTCTCAAATAAATAAATAAATAAATAAATAAACTGGACAATTTCCCGCCACAAACTTGCAGTGACTGAAAGGAAATGCACCTAAAAGTGTGCTGCACGCTTTGAGTTGTTGTGTTGCCGTTACAGTCGTGGCTTCGTAAACTCCGGCCCTAGTGGGGCAGGAAAATCAGTTTTTAATGCATTGAGAACGCCAAGACGCTAAGCCTAGGAATCTAACCGGAAAGTGGTACCAGTTTTAGAGCCCAGAATATATTTTTTCTTTCAAAAAACAGAAAAAATCAGAAAGGTTAGGCTTAATGTTACGTAAGACAATCTGACGTGATGATATGCAAGACTACAAAAGAGTATGTTTTTCACAAAATAAAAGAAACTTCTCTTCTCCTGCTGGATAAACAATTAAAAATAATGTGCGTACAATATGTGTATAACCCTTCCTTAAGAGAATATATCGGCCGTCATTAACGATTTTTATTGTGTAGGCATAACAAGAATTGGTTCAATATACTCACGCCCTGTTTTGCAATATCAAGAAGCAAGAGAAGAAAACCGAGAAGAAGGGTCTAACCTTTTGGTTCAGTATCGTTTCAGAAGAGGAGTTGGTGAGTGATTTCAATTTTAACTGAAATGCCGACAAGTGGATTTTTTTTTCTTTTAGGTATCGGTCAAAGAAAGAAATCAGTGTTAATTTGCAAACATATAACCATCCTCTTTGTTTGTCTCTATTTTTTAATATTTACCGGTGCTTTTTTTTTACCAGACGAGTGGTTGAGCAACGGCTTTATTTACCCTGGAACAAATTCAATACAACTGTGATGGGAAGAGTAAGCTTAAACACTGCTCACAGTTTGACCAACACTAGTATTACGGCTTAGTTCTACCGTCCTAAAAAAATTGTTCCGAACGCCCTTTTACAAAATTTTCTCGGTAAAAACTGTAGTGAAAATAAACAGCAGCAATAAACAGCATTTAACAACGATGTTTTGCAAGTTTCTGATCAGCTGTTGTTGTTTTTGTACTTAATTTTTTCTTTGTTTTTTTTTGTTCAGTTATTGATGTTGTTAGTTGCCTTTTTTTCGGTGTTGGCCAGTCTGTTGCAAGTTCAGGTATTTTTTTCCACCCCAGGTAATGACCTGAATGAATTGAAGGATAAAGCAAAAAACGCAAATTCCGCTTACAATTCGATAAAACAGAACTGGAAGAAAATTTTTGTGATCGTCATTACGACATTTGCATTGATTGTTGTCCTGAGAATCTATCGAGGGTGTTTCTCTGATTCAGGGTAAGTTGAAGACTTTTGATGACCGACACGCAAAAATACAAGAAGTAGCACTGCAACATGTACTAACATCAAAGATAGGCTAGATTAGCTCAGTTGATTTCGTGAATCTGGGTAGTTAGGCCTTTGTTGCAGTGTTCCATTACAACCCTGTTCTAGCAAAAGGCTGCGTCAGGCTGCCTGTATTAAACTGCAAACCCGTTTCTGTGCCAAAAAAGGGAGATCTGGGTAATTCGATTTCAGGTCTAGTTTCAGAATAAGTGCCACAGAAAATGACATGTAAATCTTTCACGAAAATTTACTTGTCTGGCTATAAATCAATTACGTCCTGACTTGATCGATAGATACCTCATGACGAATTACCCTTGGAGTTTAACCCTCGGACGTACAAGGGGGGTGGTTGCCACACCCCTCAGAGGTTTTTTGGAATTTTTTTCCTAGACGATAAAACATCAGTACCTGACGTTTTCAGTAGCTGTTCTTTTATCCCTTGCGCAAATTTTGAGACAGGTTTAGTGATGGTCAGTTACTATGGTTTGAGAGATGACGTCATAAGTAGCAGGTGGTCAAGTCATTTTGAGTGACAATGCATGTTTTTTCAACTTTTTTCGCAATAAAAGTAAAACTTGTGGATGAAAAGATACAAAGTTCTTATTAATGTGTTATTTTATATGTCAAGCACGAAAAATTACCATTTATCGCTAATTTAACCTGATTTCTAATTCTTAGTAAAATCCAAGATGGCGACCATCGTTGGTGACGTCACAAGCCTCCAGCAGCGCCACCACCCATATTATATACTGCATCTTGTCGAGAAGATCAAAGGCTTTCCACTAAGGGTAAAATAACATAACATATCAAAAACTCTGGGGAGGGGTTCCATCACCCCCCCCCCCCCCCCTCACGCACTTCCCAACCCCTCCCCAACCCCACTCCCTTCCCCCCCAACGATGAGAAAAAAAAACTACAAAAAAAAACCACTGGGGGGGGGGTTTCCCCCCCCCCCCCCCCCCCCTGTAGCACAGTGGGGGTATGAATTTGCGTGTACGTCAAGGATTAATTGCCATCTTGTCTGAATTCCTTTGTTTATAGTATATAAATAAGATGTACACTTTTAAGTGCCGCGACCCTGCGTTGAAAGGGGAAATAATTCAGATTAATATAACGATTCGAGAGGAAGCGTAAGTTTAAAGTGGCCATAATAGCTCTAGTGTTATTTCAGTCCTTTCTTGCCATTTCTTAACTGAGTTTAGCAACCTTCGTCAAATAGTTTTTAAAGAAGAATTTCAATATATCTGCCGCAATTTCGTCATTTTATTCTTCTTCTTCTTCTTTTCAGTTCCGATGAAGACGACGTCCAACCCAACATTGTCGTTTTAAAAATGTAAAAGCCAGACGCGAAAGGCAATGGTGAATTTGACGACCCGGTCATAAGGGAAGGGGTCACTCACGGAAATAATGATGGTACCAAGGAAGGAAAAGGTCTCCAAAAAGGCACTCATGACTCTGAGATCAAAGGTCCCACAGACAAAAGGGTTGCAGACAAAGTGGCGACTATAAGGGAAAAGCTCGAAGCCAAACCTTAATAGCCTTAGCCACTTCAAGAAACGCTCATTTCAAAGACGAAAGAGACTTCACACCCGCGACTTCGAACTCTTTTTTTAAAGATGACGAATTTCATCGTTTTGAGATGGATAGTATTCCTGTGTCTGGATATACTACTTTGCAGCAGAGAGAGTTTTCTTTGCTTTACTTTCCTTTCTGTAAGCAGCTCTTCAAAGTGAAAGCGCAGGCAGACGAGCTAAGCGTCCAACGTTAACCTACAATGACCTGGCAGGGAAGCCTGAGCAAAGTCCACTTCCATTCTACGAGGAAATACCGTTTATAAAAATGTTGGTAATGTCGTCGAAAGAAAAACACTTTGACGATTATGTGCCAATTGCTCACACAAACACCAACATACCCTTGACTGTTTCACCTTAAAAGTGAATCGGACCTAAGGATATCTTGTTGGACGTCGGTGTTAACCAGTCAATCTGTCGTATCAAGTAAAGAGTATATTTCCTTAGCCCACGTGGCGCAGTAATTGTAGTTCTTTAACTACACCCCTTTCGTTATTTGAATTTAAAGGCAGATGAAATTATTCAGCATTAAACTAACTCAGATTCACGTTTATACAGACCTCTTGTTAGCCGAGTTTTCGGTCCGTACTGTAAATTAAGGACCGAGTTTTTTTCTATCGATTTATGGCCCGCGCGCTTCGCGCTTGGGAAAAAACGAGGATCCGTAGTTTACAGTACGGACCGAAAAAACGAGGCTAATAGGATGTTAACAGAAACCCATAAGGGGTTGAAACGTGTAACTCTCATATGTTTGGTTTGTCCGATGCTCGTGATTATTCATTTTCGAAAGTACCATATTTGGAACGAGAAGAAGAGATAACTGACCAATCAAACTTCGTAAACAACGTGACGTAGTTTTACTTCATGTTCCCGCGCCCGCTTGAAAAAAATGGCCGACAAACGGGGGAAAAATTCCCGAAAGCCGAGAAAGCTTTCAAAGGATGAAACCAGGAATATTACCGAAACACTGAGCAGGATATTATTGCCTTCCCACCCGGGCCAAACGTAACATTATGAAACCCATTGACGGTCTCGCAACTTCTTGAGGTTGTCACTTCAAAAAACGATGCCTCGTTGACCCTCTTCACAGTAAACTTGTACTGCAAATAGGCTTTTAAAATTCATTCTTATATTAAAAGGCTAGAATAAACAGTGAAAAATATCTTCGAATAAAATTCATTAGCTGCGCATCGAAAAGTGTCCAAAACCTGAACCTGACATCTTCGCAAAAAGTGATGCTTGTAATGAATGTGGGAAGCATTTTAAAAGCTTAAATTAAACTTAGATGTTGTAGTCACGATCGTGTTTTGAGCTAATTTTATAAATGAACAAACTCAAAACAATAGACAGAGAAAAGCCGTTTCTTGAAAATTTTTATTCAACGAAAAGTTAATCCTCTAAAGCAATTCGGAAAACACTATCTGGATCGTGGATCCGTTCACGCNGTAACTCTCATATGTTTGGTTTGTCCGATGCTCGTGATTATTCATTTTCGAAAGTACCATATTTGGAACGAGAAGAAGAGATAACTGACCAATCAAACTTCGTAAACAACGTGACGTAGTTTTACTTCATGTTCCCGCGCCCGCTTGAAAAAAATGGCCGACAAACGGGGGAAAAATTCCCGAAAGCCGAGAAAGCTTTCAAAGGATGAAACCAGGAATATTACCGAAACACTGAGCAGGATATTATTGCCTTCCCACCCGGGCCAAACGTAACATTATGAAACCCATTGACGGTCTCGCAACTTCTTGAGGTTGTCACTTCAAAAAACGATGCCTCGTTGACCCTCTTCACAGTAAACTTGTACTGCAAATAGGCTTTTAAAATTCATTCTTATATTAAAAGGCTAGAATAAACAGTGAAAAATATCTTCGAATAAAATTCATTAGCTGCGCATCGAAAAGTGTCCAAAACCTGAACCTGACATCTTCGCAAAAAGTGATGCTTGTAATGAATGTGGGAAGCATTTTAAAAGCTTAAATTAAACTTAGATGTTGTAGTCACGATCGTGTTTTGAGCTAATTTTATAAATGAACAAACTCAAAACAATAGACAGAGAAAAGCCGTTTCTTGAAAATTTTTATTCAACGAAAAGTTAATCCTCTAAAGCAATTCGGAAAACACTATCTGGATCGTGGATCCGTTCACGCAAGTGAAATCGGCTAAGCACATGGCAAAATTCAACACAAAATCCATCTCAAATCAGGGCACATTTTGTAATTTTTCTTTAGCGCCGAAGAGAAAAATTTACAAAACGTCTATGAAACATTTAAAGATACTTAAATTCCCTTTCAAAAACTTAATTGTCTTGGCCATAGAGTGCAAAATGTACCTGAAAATTCAGAAAAAACTTCGCTGACTTGGTTGCATTTCAAAACAGACCATGGGCTCCGCCGTGAAGAAAACGAGGTTGAATTCCTCGAAGGACGATTTCTTGACGAAAAGCTTCCCTTTCTCCACAAAAAGAAAGCTGAGCATTCTTTTGAACTTTCTCTTTCCATTTTTTGTCTTTTAACAGTGTATTTTTAACCGTGAAATGCAGAACTCTTGTCTTAAAACATCTGCATGGTGATCGCGCAGCAGCTATTTTGTTGAAAATGGATATCCGTCACTAAGGTTTCCAAATATGGTCAAAATGAATATTCATGCACGAGCATTGGACGCGAGTTACACGTTTCAACCCCTTATGAGTTTCTGATGTTATAAATTATATGGCTCCTTCTAGTTTGGGGGACCGGAAACAAGTGTAGGACGCGCGATTTGACAATCATATGACAGCCGTCAAGGAAGAAAGTTTTTATTGGCTCACGAAAACAATAGCACACAACAAAGGGTTTCCGAGAAAGTGAAACAAATTCGCCATGTTGAAAAAGTTTATTTTGTCAAAACTAAGAGCGCTGTAAGTTTCAGCTTCATGCCAAGCTGGAGTATTTTGGAAACCGGGCACTGTATCTTTCTCGAAGTCGTTTCCATCTTTCCTACGTTGGTCCTTGTAAAAAAAAAAACACTGCAAAAGGCAAAGAAGCTTTAATTTCAAGGTAAGTTTGTTGTAAGTGTCGAAGGATTCGCGCGTTAATTTTTTTGGGAAAACATCTCGAGTTTCTGCCGGTTCATTCTCGCCTTCAAGCGTGATCTGCGTTAAAATTTTCTTTCACGGACCATATTTTCTTCCACGGAAAGGTTACGATTCAGTTTCTACATCAGCTAGGTTAAAATCTGAAAAGGCAAAGTCAACATCCCAGTCCTCAGGGTTTACAGACATTATTTTTAAGTATATTCGGTCAAAACTAAGAGCACTGTAAGTATTCACTCGCCAATGTAACGCTGGAGTCTTTTGAAAACTGGACATTGTGTCTGGCTCGGAGTCGCTTCTATCTTTCTTTCGTTGGTCTTTGGAAAAACACTGCAAATGACAAAGAAGCTCGCCAAGATGATCGGGTGCAGGTATGTTAGTAGTAGGGCTTCAGCAAATTTAACCCCCTTTGGTGCCTTCCCTTGCCTTCCGTATGCCTTCCCTTTATTAAAATGCATATGGTCTAGTCAATGACGTCACCTATTGTTATAACCTGGGAAAAAGTGCCTTCCTCCATACTAATTAAGTGCCTTCCTCCATATATAATAATGTGGATAGGTTTACTAATGAGCGTCACTCTACTACAATAGGAACAATAGGCTTGCCTAGACTTGCCCGGGTTCTTTTAACCCTGATTGGATAGTAAACAATCTATTATGTGTTCAACATAAAAGCGCGCTCTCCGTTCAGCATTTTATTATTGTCACAAACTCCAGTATATTTTTGAACGGATAGCTTCCAAACATGCAAGTCAACGGTCCGAAAACAGTACTCGACTTAAAACTATTCACTGTGACCAAAGATAAATATTTTTATTCTACAAAACCATTGATTCTGTTTTGTCAATATAATTCAACCTTCAAACGTTTCTAGACTGTGGTATCGAGCGTTAACCATTAACAGGTTGGCCTTTTTCCTTTTAGACCTGTATCATACGAAACAAAACGAACGCAAGCGAACTGTATTTTATTATTCATCGCAAACTAATTTAATATACACTGAGCCAACATGAACGCTTGTCGCATAAATTATCCACGGGAATCAACTCAATTATATATAAACAATGGTGGGATTAATACGCGCGTGCTACAACCAGACTACACCTTTGTTTCGGTTAAAAAT